TCCCCGGCCCTGCCTGTTCTTTCTTGGTATTCCTGTTTTGGGTTTTTTACATTTCTTTGATCCATCTTTCACATCTCTGTCTTCTCACCTGTCAAATTGATAATGTTTCTCTGTCCTTTCCTCTGATTTTTGGGTGATCTTTTTGAGTTGGCATTGAAATTAAATTTAGATTTTGGCATTCTTTTCCTCTCCCATTAAATGTCATTTTTTCCTTAAATAATCATGAAAAATATGAATTGGACATATTTGCCATTTTTTTTCTTTTGTAGCCAATCAAAGAATCTGTTTTTCTTCTCCAGTAAGTCCTCTTTTGAGCTATGGAATGTTTTGTATACCCAGTATTTTTTCCCCTATTAGGTCATACTTAGAGAGATTTAGAAGCATCTGTAGTAGTTCAGAATTTCTTTTGAGATTGGTTCTGTTGTAGAGTCTCTAAAGTCATGTATCAGTACTTTCTGGCTTAGGTGAGGAAAGAAGAGATTGGTAGCCATATTAATAGTTAATCAGTAGAAGAGCAAGTACCTATAGAGTAAAAGGAACAGGTAGCTCCAAGATAGGAGCCTGAGAGCCCTATTCCCTTTGTTACAGTTCTTTTTTTTTTTTTTTTTCGCTTGATTTAGTTTTCTTTTGAGATCAGTACTGTAGTCTGCTGTTTGGTATACTGTTATCAAGGTATTTCTGAAAATGTTAGAAAAAGCACTGTATGGGAATCAAGAGTCTGTCTTATTTTTAAGTAGTAGGCAATATTAAAACTACTTATGATTAAGTTATGCTGGGGGAGGTAGTATTTTATATCTACTTATATTCTAGGTTGTAACTAATGGGTAGATGATTGTTTTCTGAAATATTTCAGTTACACCATACTGCAGAAATTTGTTGAAACTTTTGTAATGTGTGTAGTAGATTATCTGTAATTAAGAATATCTCAGATTAGCTGAACCTGCTGGTACATGCCTGCAATTCCAGCAAGTTGGAGTCCAGTCTGGGCACCTTAGTGACTTAGTGAGACCCTGTCTCAAAAGAAAAAATTAAAAAAAATAAGGCCGGGATGTAGCTCAGTGCAAAAATCCCAGGCTCAATTCTCAGTGCACATAAACAAACAAATGAAATCTTGGATTGACTCAGTTGCGGAATGAAAATGTCAGAGGAAAGAATCAGAAGTTGAAGACAGTCAGATGATTAAACATAAGTACTTTTGAATAACAGACATTAAGGAGTTAATAGAACTTCAGTCTTGTTGGACGATCCTTTAAAAAAAAATTTTATTCATTTTATTGGTACATTTTAGGTATACAATATAATGACATTCATCATTGGAAATTTGCTCCTTTACATAATCACTCTTGGTCTTTATTTTTTCCCTCTTCCCCTGCCCTCCCTTCAACCCCTCCATCCCTCCCTATTTACATTTTTTCATTTTCTCATATTAATCCCATTCCCTTCTATCCTT